AAACTCTTGCTTCTGGATAAAGGAGGAGTACATGGACCATAATGTTGCTTCCTCCAGTGAAAAGGTCCATTTCCAGTTGTCCTTTTACATCAAAATATTGGTTTAGAACAGTTTTAGCTTGTAAGCAGTGCACATTTCTCTCCGGATTCAGATGAGGCCTCATTTTAAAAGGAGAAAACATGTTTTTTTCCTTGTTACAACCATGCAGCTTTTCACTTCACAAAACATTAATCAGCAGACTGGAGTTGTGTGGATTACGACGTTATCAGCGGTTTACAGTTTCTCCCAATTGCGTCGACGCAATTCTGGGAACAACTCCCCATTTTCTAAAATCGTCACACCCAACGGTACAAACAGCTAACTTTTGAATACCAATTCAAACATTGCCCTCGGTCAATACAAGCGGTCAAAAACAGACTATGACTTTTACCACATTGGAGGGATAAGTTCAAAACACTGCTACCAAATGCTTTAGTTTCCAGACCAATAATTTGGAACTTTGTGAAATCACAGCACTGACTAAAGCTTTCAGAAACAACCCTGACCAAAAAAATAACCACACACACATGTTTGTGCTTACATAGTTGGCTAAAGCAATACAGTACATGCCATTTTGGCCAAAAAGTTGGCCTTTGAAATGTCACACTAACAAAACATGCAATGAAGAGTCCATGCAGACTAGAATACTTAATTTTCAAAACCTTTATTTCCAAAGGCAAGCAAATGTACAGGTTACTCAGCAACAGCGAGCGTTCTCATAATCATCTCATCTCAGGTGTGGGTCAGGCCATAATCTCATCAACATCACGCATTGTTTGCTCTTGCGAGGCAGAGTGGAAAAAAAAAATAAAAAGCCCTTGTGTGCCTTATATAACACGGACTCCACAGACACATCTTCACAGGCATCCAGCATTGCTTCCAGGAGGTTTTGGTGTACATGGGGGTTGCGGTCACACACTTTCCACCACCATGCTGAGAAAAATTCCTCAATCGGATTCAGAAATGGGGAATATGCTGGAGGAAAAAATAAATAAAAGGGAACAGTGAACCTGGGGTGGGCATTGAACCAGGTGTGAACCAGAGCAGCACGATGGAAACTCACATTATCCCAAATGACAACATATTGGACCTGCTCTGGTTGCCCTGGCTCCCCTTCCTGTTGAAGAATGTTATTGTGCAGCTGATCTAGAAATCTAGAGTTGTGCCGTGTTGTATGGACCCAGTTTGCCATGGTGGTGGAGGACGCCACGATTGCTGATGGCTGCACATATGGTGGTGTTGCCTCCCCTCTGGCCAGGAACTTGTGACCGCACGGTGACCAAGGATGTTGAGCCCTCTTTTGCACTATGTCAGGTTGAACCCTGCCTCAATGAAGATGTATACTCATGTGGGTCAGCCATGGCATCCAGCTCAAAGACCCTCTACAGAAATAAAAATTACAGTACTGTACTGATGTGCCGGAGAGAAAGGCCATGTTCTACACTGTAAACTCTGTACTGTATATCAGTCACCTGCACATATTGGAATCGTTGCTCCTTAACCATTTGAATTCTATAGATGGCCGCCTCTCAGTTCTGCAAAAAAAAAAATGAAAGAACCGCTACTAAATTATGGTCATCCATGATGACTGTGGCAAAAACTACACAGAAAACAAAGCGTGGATTCAATCTATATGCACTACATACATCACCGTAACAAAGCAAGTTACCCGTTTTCCCTCCTGAAAGTACAGACAATGGATGCAACCATGTAACGGTTTAGGTTCGGTTGGACAAACTGTCCAGCTTCTTTCATAGTCCTCCCATGTATGAACACATGATGAGCTACACTCTTAAAAATAAAGGTGCTTCACGATGCCATAGAAGAACCTTTTTGTCTAAATGGTTCCATAAAGAACCTTTAACATCTGAAGAACCTTTCTGTTTCACAGAAGGTTCTTTGTGGCGAAAAAAGGTTCTTCAGATTACAAAAAGTTAAGAAAGAGATGGTTCTTTAAAGAACCTTTGACTGAAAGGTTCTTTGTGGAACCAAAAAATGTCTCTTCTATGGCATCGCTTGAAGAACCTTTTGAAGCACCTTTATTTTTAAGAGTGTAGGGTGGCACGGATTTCATCAGAGACTGCTCGTCTTCATCTTCCATGCTGTTGTCTTGCAACATCAGCATTGTTAGGATCCATTGTTCCAAAGCACATGGACATTGCTCCAGGTCCTATTTAATGACCCTTTAATTCTGATTGGTGTGTTAACAATTTTGAGTCTTAGTGTTTGCACCTGGAGAAAGGTGTGCTCTTTGAGTTTAGCTTCTGATGACTTGAGTTAATTATATTGAGAGCATGTGTTTGCTGAATGAACTTACAGTGCAGTGAATGATTTATTTGGCCACTTTTGTGAAAGTTTTTACAGAATGAGTTTTGAATATTGAAGCATGTGTGGAAATAGGTGAATAGTGTTTACAGTTATGGGAAATGCATGTGTGTGTGTTTGGGAATGACATAAGGGTATCGGTTTTTGTACTATAGAAACCCGTTTTTGTGTTTAAGCAATTGAGAAAAACTGTAAACTCTGATTCTGACGGCACCCATTCACTGCAGCCTAACTATAATAAGATCGTCCAGCATGGACACTCCTGTTCATGCAATCACTAAAAAATTCTAAAAGTTTCAGACCCACCTATGATTTTTCAGACCCCAGTTTACATGACTGTCCCAATGATAACAGTATCACTGAGGACCGGTGTGTGTGTGTGTGTGTGTGTGTGTGTGTTTATATGACGTTATATCATTGCACAATTTTTAAGTTTAACTTGTCAGGCCAGTTGCCTGTTTAATTATTACTTTTGATATCACATTGTGTTCACAGCTAACAAAACATGAATAAACTTGCCCTGCGAATGGGAAAATTCCTCCCTTTTAAGTAAAAAATATTCTCAGCTAATCATTTGAATGGCATGCCTTGTTTTTCAAGACTTAATCACAGGAAAGCCAAGCCTAGTTTTCTCCAAAGAGTAAAACAGGTTTTATTCATGGGAACACTTGATTCTGAGTCATCAGTATCGGTTATCTGAAAGATGCAAATATCCTAAATCAACATTGTTTTATTGTATTATGAACTAGAAGGTTTAAACAGCATATGTATGCTGAAAATTAATAGTTTCCATATATGCAGAATTTATGTAGGTCTCAGGGGTGCTGTGTGTTCGGTTTCTATGGACGTGCCTCTAAAACACACAGTCCTGTGGGAATGACCGGATAATTACATGCATCACTGATAATTCACAATCTGACTGACCATAAAAGTTGATAAACTGGGTAATTTAGGCCTGGTTTCACAGACAGGTCTTAGGTTAAGCCAGGATTAGGCCATAGTTCAATTAGGACATTTTATAAATATGCCTTAGATAAAAAAAGCATTACTGGTGTGCGTCTTGAGGCAAAACAATGAATCTGACATATTTTAAGATCACAAAAGTGCAAGTTTCTTTCAGTTGAAACAGTCCAGACATGCATTTTAGTCTGGGACTATGCTTAGGCCTTGTCTATTAAACCGGGGGTTAGTGTCTATAATTTGATATTAATAATAATGTAGGAACAACTGACCAGCAGAAGTTGATTAAAACTGCATAATGAAATAAAAAGGCAGAATTACGAATATTGACCAAAAACAGCAGGTCCCAATGTTGCTTGTTACTCATTAGCCTACTACACAAATAGGCCTAGCATACAATTTACATCGCAAATATATGCATTTTACAATTAATAATAAATTTTTTTTATATATATATATATATATATATATATATATATGTAGAATATTTATTTTATTAATTTATGAATTGTGTTATAATTAATACTCATTATTATTTTGTATTATTGGATACATGAATTGTTATTATTATTAGTAGTAGTAGTAGCAGCAGCTGTGTTAGTACATTTCTTGTTATTTTGAATCTTATCTGAACTTCTAGACATCTTGTTCTGTGTGTGGCAATGGCGCCATCACCGATTTTTCATGGCAAATGTATGATTATGGTCCATTACTGACATCTACTGGATATAAATTTTAGTGCAGTCTGTTTGCGTTCTCTACAAACCCCGCCTCCTAAGCGCTCTCTCAACTTCTAATTGGCTCAAAGTATTTTCATTCTTCGGTCTGATTGGCTAACTGCATTCGCCCTAGCCGTCACGCATAACAGAGGTCACACATGATTCCAATATGGACGCTTCCAGTTGAAACGTTACCTGCTGTGTGATTTTAAAAATAATGTTTGTAATTTAATTTATTTTGAAGACAGAATACATTCTAATTTATATGGAAAACATGGCGGTTCCTGAAGAGACTGTTTGAGCTGTCATCCACTTCTGCGATGCCTTCACTCAATGTTGTGTCATGTTTGCAAAGGGTGGGTTTGAAAATTCATATATATCTGCTATAATTTGATATAAAAAATACACCGAGCTTGAAGATCTTGTGTTTATTTATTGATTGACTGACACTGACAAAGGGACATTCTTAAAATATGGGAACTGTCTCTTGAATTTTAATTATAAAATCACAAAAAAATATTAAAAGTAAGATAGTATGGTAAGATCATTCTTATTTTCTTATATATATATATATATATATATATATATATATATATATATATATACACTCATGCACTTTGGAAATCTGGAATTTTAAATATATTAATAAATCATATATAAATGGATATATTTTTGCAAACATACGCAATATATATATATATAAATGTTAAAAAATAATGTGTTTTTTAAACCTTAAACCGCATAAACACATTTCATTACATCAAATACACAAAATAATGTTCTTTTTAACAACATCATATGAACCCTTTAATGTATATGAACGTTTTATATGCATTTTTGCATAGATAGATATAGTTTCTCAACGTTTTAGCATTAGTAATTTAGTCAAACACATTTGGAAAAGTGATAATATAATAATAATCTAAATAATGTGTTCCTTTCTTTATTTCATGTTGTTTATCACTGTTTAAAAAAACCTAGCATTATTAAAATACAAAGTTGAAGTTAAAAGATCAAATGTTCCTATTTGAAACTTAGAAAAGCTCAGAGAAAGAAGAGGCTGTTAAAAGATGAACATTGTGAATTCCTGCATAAATCTATTTGCAACTCTTTTCTACAGCTGCACACCTGCTACATGGCTCTCTTCAAAAACAGACCCCATCGCTGGACTGTGTTTTCTCAGAGCAGAGCTTTGCACTACACTGCCTGTGAGCTGCAGTGTTCAAGCTCAGACTCTTCTTCCACCGTCAGCAGTGTACACCAGACACCGACTGTCCCAGAACCTGCAGACGAGGGCCCTCCATCTCCCCCCAGCCACTGCTGCATGAGCGGCTGCCATAACTGTGTGTGGATCGAACATGCTGAAAAACTGCTGAAATATTACAGCGATGGTGGAGACAGAGCTCTGGCTGCCATTGAGGAGAACGTTCTCGATGACAACCTGAAGACTTATCTTAAAATGGAGATCAAGTTACTGAAGAAGAAATCTTGATTATAGTGAACTTGGACTACTTGAATTTTACTGAGAGCAGATTCATAGTGTTTCATAGCAGCAACTATTTGCACATTTTTAATGGGTGAGTCTGACAAAAACACGTCCCGGTCATATTTCACCCCTAAATCAAAAGGAAAAATATTTATGTATATTGCACAAAGACTGTAAATCGTTCCTCCAAAATCCTTATTATCGTAATGCATGCAGTTGTTTTATTTCTGAGTTTTTTTTTTGTAATGTCTTTATAGTGTAGTATTGAAAACAACAATTTGATGAGTTTTTTTTCTTTAAGTACTCTTCACAGAATACAGTACAGTTTATTATAATGAAAATATACATAGGAAAATTGTGAATTGTAATGTTCAATATTACTAGCCTACAGAACTGATTACGCTGGCCTGCAGACTACACCCATGATAAGACTTTATCTAAAAAAACAAACAAACATGTTTTTCTTTAAAATTTTAAAAACAATATTAAATGTTGTTGATGTTATGTATTTATAGATAAGTTTGATCATTTTGTATATTAAGAGAGAGTGTACAATTTCTTATTTATCACTTATTTAATGTGATTGTGGTCTGTGTAACTATTAAGTTATTTAAGACAAAAAAAAGAATTGGTTTGCAATATTTTTTTTTAAATGTTCTAATATTTTTGGAAATGTTTTAATATTTTTTGTTTATTTTATTCAAATTTTTTTTTTTGGGGGGGGGATTATACAACTATGTGAAAGACTACTTGTGCTCACCAAGGATGCATTTATTTGATGTATTTATTTATTTTAAGTTTTAAATATATATATATATATATATATATATATACAGGGGGTACGGAAAGTTCTCAGACCCCCTTAAA